TCACCGAAATACGGCAAAATTAGAAATTAATGAACTCTCAGGAAATGAGAGATTTTGTCACCTTTTCTTGTTTGTAATTTTTTTCTAAATCCGATTTTTTTTGTACCTGCATTTAAAAAAATTGCAAAACTTGCCGCCCTCTAATTTTGCCGCCATGGGCCGCGGCCCATGTGGCCACCCCCTTAATCTGGCCCTGCTAAAAGAGATTAGACAATTGAAGGAAACTAGATTTCGAAAATTTGACCTTTACTGCTCTCTTCGCTATCACAGCAGTTCGCCTAGCATAATGCACGTTCAAAAGGGGCACATCTTGGCAGCACTGCTATTTAGCATATCATTAGCACATGATTTGAGTGTCCCAGTGGCAAAAGCCAAGGTCTAAGGAGCCGCGCTCGGTGCCCTCTGAAACGAAATTAACGCAGGATCACTGCACACGGCAAGTTCACGATTCGGGCAATCACTCGAGAGTAGCCCATGAAACTTCAGATGCCCTCTTTATCGGGGGTTCTTTCTTCTTCATTCAGTGTCCAGGAGGCTCGTCGACATGCTCAGGAGGCCATGAATCATCGACAATTCCAGCGTGTTTTAATTTTCTTACGATCTTTTTGAAAAATCTTCACTTTTTATTCTCAATTGGACGTTAACAATTATAATGTAAATGGAAAAGTCGCTCCATCGCATCGTGTGAAAAATCAAGCAGCCACTTGAAGGGGATAGCCTGGGTGGAGGAATACTGCAAAGCAGCGATTGATTTTTTTTTAATTTTTGTAAAACAGAGTTTAGGTATATATTTTTCATTTTATAGTTTTATCCATGTATTTGATTTTATTTTTGCATAATTTTTCTTTCATCCATGTGTTTGATTTTATTTCTGCATAATTTTTTTGTTTCATTTTAAAGGAAGAAATAACTCAATAATAACCGTAAAAGTCCATGAACAAGGAAGCTAATTCGATGAAGAGGAACGAAAGGGAGAATTTAATCTTTTCATCAGTCGAATAAGTCCTAATCAATGAGCATACTTAAAAGACACGTGAGAAAACTTGGTTTTCGTCATCGGCGAATGGGCTTGAATCGAAAGTCACATGGCGAGGTATTGACCTCCGTTTTCCTCGAGACGAAGTCATTTTCTGACCAATCATCAAGACCCTAAAGGCACGTGATAATAAGAAAAAAGGATAAAGCGCAGCCCCTCGATAGAAAAAAAGGACTAGAGGAGAGAGAGAAGAATGAAAATTGTATAACAAACACGGAAGGGCTTTTCGGGGAATCCACTTGCTCTAGTTCGACAACTAAAGGTCGCTGTATGCGCGGGTCCCGGGCGGGGATCAAGGAGAGTGAAAAGCACGGGAGGGGCGGCCGAGCTGGGTCGCGGGGCGCCTCGCCGGAACAGGAATGAATGGGCTCGGGCGCGCGGGGCGGGGGGCGGGGAGGGGGGCGCGGGAGCCCCTCGGCTTATTTTGAACGGGGCTGCGTCGAGAAGTGGGGCGCCGGATCCCAGAATGAACCATTGATCGAGGGAGGGGCGGGGGGCGCTGCGGGGGCGGTGCGTCATCAGCACGGGGCGCGTCGGGTTTTCGGGGCGACCCGGCCCCGTGACCCCATTTCGGGCCCCGGTCGCTGCACCCAACGCTGACGCTGACGCTGTCCCGCTGCAACGGTGACGTCATTCGCTTCCGCGTTGCCGCCCCGCCCAGCTACCCGTCTCGGTTGGAGTCCCTTTATACCGAGAGTTACGACATCTCAATCCTGGTCGGGCTGAAAGTGGCCTAAAAAAAAAAATCCAATTCTGATTAGTTCTCGCTCATGGAGTCACTAAAGTGTACACCAGATGACGGTGGCTCGAATACGACCAAAGTGATGAAAATATAACGTAATTGTGATTTATCAAGAGTAAATTGTTATTTTCAGCGCACCAAATGAAAATATATGTATTAAGACATTATTCACAAATCAATCTCATTTTATTTTATTGCAATTTCTTCGGTTAGGTTGGTTGGTCAGTTTTTTTGATGGTGTTTTGACAGCTTTTTCCACTTTAAAACTTATTTTTAAAAGTAAAAGCGACTGTTAGATCTACATTCTCTCATTATCTGTATATCTTGTAAGACTACCAAATGAAAAATTACCATCCTAAGCGAGGCATATCCGAATTATAAAATTACATTAAAATAATCTTGTACACATTAGACCTGCGGTACCCTTTTCACTTAATTAACTTGCACATTGATGTTTCAACCACGAAACCACGCATCTCCGTTTTGCAGACTTTGCTGTCATACATTATTTTTTCTTAGGAAAACTAGTCTACTTGATTTCTTGAAAACTTCATTGATTTTCCCCCTCGGTTAGCAAAATTTTCCGTATGAATTTCAAGCTATGAAGTTACTTTGTTTTGCTCTGAAAAAAAAGTCATGAGGATATTTTGAGACACCGCAAGGGAACAACATGGTTTTGCACTTGGGCCATCGACGTAGTTCTATTTAGCCTACCTAAACGCTTCATTGATAATCGTCACCTTTAGATAGAGTCCCTTCATAGAGAAAGTTGAGACAAAGCGGCTTCTGTATGTCACAAACGGGAATAAAGATTACACAAATAGGACGTTTTTTGTAATCTTTGATGAATCCATTCCCGAATTCCTGTCTCCGTTTCCCCTCTCATTTCATTTGCTCCTTGCCGTGCCTCCAATTTCCCGGTCCATTACAGTTTAAAATCTTTGCAATTGGTTAAAATGTAATCTATATTCCCATTTGTGACACTCTGAAGGCCTACACTGGGAAAAAAACACATTGGATCTAGAGTCCAGACTCTTGAAAACATTGACAAGAAAAAATACTCTTGATTCAATCAGATTTTTGCTTAAATCAAAAGGAAATCCGCCCAAATTAAGAGGCTTGGTTCTTGATATAAGCAAAAATCCGATTGAATCAAGAGTATTTTTTCTTGTCGATGTTTTTAAGAGTCTGGACTCTAGATTTAATGTGTTTTTTTCCAGTGTAAAATATGGGAACCAATCAGAGATGGGTTCGCGTTGTCTTTACTCTGAGTATAAAGTGACTCTACCCTTAAAGAAAACCACGGAAGCTGCGGGAGAAGCCAAATGCCGAAGCTTAATATTTTCCCGGGCGTTTGGCAACTTCACAGCGGTTACCTTAGCCCTTTAGGGATGCGGCGTCACAGCCGATGCCCTGGAAAACTGGGAGCCGCGCCGCAAAGACTAACGTACATTCTGTCCCTCACCCGAATAATCCCCCCCCCCCCCCTCCCCCCAGCAGCGAGACACGTTCGTTCGGCAGACAAAATGTCGAAGGGCCCAAGAATCTCAAACTCTCTTTAACAACAAGGAAACACCCGTCCCTGCTCGTCGCAGTTTATTCCCTACGAGATTTTTAGGTTACATTTAAATCTAATTCTAAATTTTTGAAAAAATCGGATTTCTAAATTAGTATGCCTACACCGATTAAACATTGCTTTGATAAAAACGCCGTATCTCCATTCATCACTTTTTCAATGTTCTCAGACAAAATGTTGTTTTACAAAAAACCTAACAAATATCCACCCTTCATTTTTTCGATACACTACCGTGAAAGTATGAAGAATTAACCTTTTGGCAATTACATTTTTTGTAATAGAACAGTACGTACTGGAAAAAAATTCAATGTTTTGAGTGAAGTTACGGTGATTTTGCTGTGGACGGCAGTGCCTGTAAATTGTGCTCCACTGTATTGTACTGATGATGGGCCTTAAGGCCGGAATGCATCTGGATATGTAATAAACGATATTTTACCCGCATCTACTTGGTAAAGCTCTAGTCGAAAAAGTACGTTTAAGTGGATGGCTCAAACGCGAAATCACGTATCTCCATTGCGGCGTTTCAAAAGTATAAACTACGCAAATTGCGGGCTAAGGAGTGGATTTCATTCTTTTTTTTATGTGTCCATTGTGATTTTTGAGCGAATTTACCCCTCTAAAGAGTGCATATAGTTGGCTGCATCTTTTGCGCCCAAAAGACCCATCAGTGAGCAAATTGTTAGTTCTTTTGCACCAGCCCAAGCCTCGTGACAAATTTAAAAAAATACCCCAAGAGAACTTCCCTGTTGGTAAATACATGATTTTTTCTTGCTGCAAGTGGTGCATTTGTGATGAAGTTCTTCCGACACACTCTTCATTGTTGCCAATCTGTGTTGAATTTATCAATCCTTCCTCACGATATCTAAAAAAATGTCATTGTAATCTAAAACACGAGAGTTGTGTTATTGAATTTTATCATGTGAGCACTGCATCAGCCGCTTCTTTTTGCTTTGAAACAGATTATTTCAAACTGATATTAAGAGCATCGATGGTGAAAACAAAATAATACTACTTCAGAAATATCACCGTTTACGTACAGGATTCTTGCTGTAACAGAACTTTCTAACAAATTCATAGAACACCTGTTCAAATTGTACATCACAAGTTTCTTCAATTTTCTCGAAAAGTAGGATACTCCATTCATTGTACACAAGTAGTGTTTGGAACTCACCTCTTTAAGTATAAAATGTACTTTCTAAAAAAATAGAAACGTGTTTATCATACGAGCACAACAAACGAACTTTAATAGGTTAACCTCTCACCCCCTTAGCCAGTAAAAAGAGGAATCATGTCCCTTCTTTTCATAATGATCAGTGTGTAAACTGAACAGCCAGAAGAGAATGGTCAGCAATAACCATGATTATCGTCTGTCTGAAGATATCTCATGGATTTTTCCTCTCTTTTTTTCACTGAGGGCTATGAAAGGAGACTATTAAAATTACAATATCATATATATGAGCTCTTATAAAATTTCAAAACGATTCGACGAGAACCCTCTTTTGGTAATTAAATTGAGGGCCGTTCAAAAATTAGATGCTTGTTGGCAACCTTGCTAAGGCACATCACCCTGCGATTGGGTTGGCAGCAGTTGCTGATTTTGGCGTTTGGAATCTGATTCATATTCGTCGCACGCAGTACCCTTACTCCTCGAGTATTTTTATCCAACACTTATATATACCTTCATTGATTTGTCTGGACGATTATTCGTTGATTGTTCTTTTGGAGTGGCAGAATGGATATCGATAAACAGGTAATTTCAATTTCATGATTTTTAAGAGGGAAATCACTTAAATTTGTTAAGCTATCTGTTGAAGCCGCCTTAAAATCCCCTGAATTATTTTCCTAAAGTAAAAAGTTATTTTAATTTGTTTTATTTTTTTAATTGATTAATTTCTAAATGCCCTCTGATAGACATAATTGACCTTGGAAGAGAGTGGCTCGAATGAGAGTGCCTTGATATTGATATGGAGAATAGAGGGAAGATTCGTTGAACCAAATCTTGCATACGATTAGGGGGGAAAACAGAGCTATTGCAGCAATTTCATTAAAAAAAAAAAAAAAAAAAAAAAAAAAAAAAACCTTCAAATACATTATGATAAAATGTTTGTATTTGTTGCTGAATATGCTGTGGCTCTACATAAAGTGCTTTAAATTGTATTATGCACGTAAGTGTGAAGAAAAGAAATATAGATACTATGCTTCAACCGAGCATAATAAAATTTCATGCTTTAAACAAAATTATCTCACATATCAACAGTAACAACAGTATCAACAGGCTGTTTCACGAGGGCATTATTTTAACAGTAAATATAGTTTTGTTTTTTCACTCGTCCCACCAACAGATTAATTTACTTAATTTTTTGAGAGATTGTACACGGGTAACAACAGTAGGTAAATAACTGTAAGTCAATCTTTGAATTTTATCCCATTTTTCTTGCAATTAGAAAACAAAGCAAGCATTAAAATGGAAATACAAAGACCAAGTAGAAAAGTTAAACGAGTCTCATTTTATCAGGCATTTGTGGATTAGTGAGTGCATTAAACGAATGAATACCTCGGATGACGATGAGAGATGCGATGAGTTGTTGAAGGTGACACGGCGCCAGATGCAACTAAACCTGCTCAAGGATCGAGCGGGTTGTATGAAGAAACATTTGAAGGCGCTCTAGCTTCTCATATTTTTGCCCCTCACGATGTTTCATGTTACGTCGTGTTGCTTCGTGTTAAGTTCGTAAATTTGAAGGGCTCTTTGATCAATGTATTATTTGGGGTTTAGGAAGTCGTAATTTTTGAGGAACCAACACAAAAATATGAACTTTACTCATTCGTGCTTGTTGAAATAAGACGGTTTCAATATAATGTTGTCTTTAAAAGTACTTAATTGTATTTGCTTATCGGAACAGTGATATATTTGTGGTAGTCGCAGATGATGTGACTGCTTGTTTTGTCTAGAAATTATGTAAGCGAATGCAATTCTTATTCAACCCTATTTTCCCTGCGGCAAATGATTGAACAGTGATACGAAACGAGATAGAAATTATGTCCTGTTTCACAAGCGCAAGGTTATATTTTATGTCATAACGAATTACGGTGAATCAATTATTCAATTTTTTCTTTGGAGAATAATAGCTGCATGCAAATTTTTCTTTGGAGAATAATAGCTGCAAATTTCCCATTTGTATTGTGTCCACAAATAACCGCTGAAAACAAAATAAAAGCGATGAGACAAAAATATACATCTAGTTTACTGTTTCAATTTTATGAAAATAAAACCGGCCAACACATTATTATTCATTATTTATTTACATATCAATGGCCAAAGTGAGAAATCACGTATCTCCTATTGCAGACTTCCTGTCATATTTTGTTGTTTCGTATGAAAACTATGATAAAAATATTTTTTTTGAAAATTTCTTTAATTTTGTTATAATTTGGAAAAATTTCAAACTGTAAAGCTCGCTTATTCTCCTCTGATAAAAACAAAATAGGAGCGGAAATTTTGAAACTTTGCTATGAAGATGCGCGGTTTTACACTTTGGCCATCAATATTTCAATTTTCTCCCTTTTTTTCTTTTTTTGTCTTTGTTTTCATATCCTATACTGAAATTGTCGTTCCAACATTTCCTGAGAGTCGATGAAATTCAGGTAAAAATATGGAAATAATTGTAGCATCATGAAGTATTAGAGTTCATTCAGCGAAACCACTTTAGATTTCTTGGAAATCGTATAAAGCTAACATCAATACCGTGCTCATTATTTTGGAATTATAATATTATAATATCCATGTGTATACTTCACCAGTCTAATAGTAGTGCGGGTACATGACATAAATCAGAGTAGCACACATTAGAGGTAGTAGTAATTGCATCCCTTTCCTCTGCGGAGTATTAACCTATGCCGAATCCATCATCGAAGGTGGAAGAAATTGAGAGTGGGGTTTTGGTAAACGCCGTTAAGTTCGCGTAATAGTGGTGCTGAGCTTGGAATAACAATCATGAAACCCTGCATTGCTGTCGGAAGTCATTGAGTCACGTTCCTGTTGTTGTCATGGCTCCAAAATTTATAACGTATAGCAATCGCAGTAATTTCATTTAAATAAATCCCATGAACAAATACATACTTAACTTTATAATTATAATAATAGTGTTGTTGGTTTAGGAAAGCAGGATTATATATTTTAACAAATAAAACTTGACAGCAAAAAAATGGAAAATAATCCATTTTTACCACATTTGTTTGGAAGTCATATTGAAAATATAAAAAAAGACAAGTGTGTAGGGTGAGAATTGAAGCATCTCAAAGATGTGGTTCCTTATCCAGTATTCGAAAAACTGGAAAAATTGGAAGCACTAAAAAGTAAAATATAGATAAGATATTAGCGTCCGTTGTTTACATCTTAGAGAAAATTCATGCTTCCCGCTCGCTTGATAATTGGTCAAATTGATAATTAAATAAAATAAAGTAATCGTATAATTTAAAACATTTACTCAAATAATGAAAAATACATTTTAGAAAGAGGGAAAAATCCTTTCTCCTTTAATTTCAAGCGTTTGTAAACTTGCTGAGAGCAGTTAAGTACGCTTAAAAATGATTTCGTCGTGAATCACACAAAAATTATCTCTTAACCTGATTTGACCTAAGTATGTTTTAGACAAGCGAAACGTTTGACTGTACGGACGCTGGAACTTCCCATTTTCATTCTAATACCGTATTCCATAAACTTGTTGTTGCAGGTACTGCTGTTACTGTTGCCTATATTCTTACTAGGCTTCAATAACGTAGCTGCGAGTATAGGCCATGCTCCAGGCCTTCTTCCAGCTCCTCTTGTTGTCGGCTGGACCAAGTACGTCCCTCAGGCGGTGCCACCTCACGCCTGGACCTCCACGTACCTTAATACCGGCGTCCGAGTCCTCCCTGCGCCTCCATACTATGCCCCAGCTTATCCCCATCCTGTCCCCGTACCCTACCCAGCCCAACCCCTCATCCCTGCTACTCCTATCCCCACACTAAACGCCGCAACCCCTCTAGTACCTACTCCTACCTTCAATTCTGCCCCTCCTCCACCACTCACTCCTGCTTTCAACCCCACAACATCACTCTTCCCCACCCCTACCTTTAACTCTGCCCCACTTCCTACCCCAACTTTCAATTCTCCGAGACCCTTCCTGCCTACCCCAGCTTTCAACTCTCCAAGGCCCTTCCTACCTACCCCAGCTTTCAGCTACGCTCCATCCTTCCCCACCCCTGTTTTCAACTCTCTTCCACCCTTCACCCCCACTCCGATCTCACCCCCACCGACATTCAGAGGAAACCCGGTTTTCAAGTCACCATATCCGGTTCCCTTCCCCCGACCGGTGGAGCCAGGACCAAACTCTGACCCGAGAGTGCCCGTGTCACAACCCTCGGGTAATTTGTTCGCGTCTCCCGGATTTCAAGGGAATTTCGCTTCGCCATACGTGAGCCACCCCAGTGTTGGGAGCCCTCCTCGACCTTACCCCATTCGGGGCCCCCCTCCGTCATATAGCGTGACTGAGCTTGATCCTGAAGATACGTATGGGCCCCCTCCTAACCCTTACGTCGGCAAGTACCGCTCTGCACCTTCTGAAAAGTACGGACCACCATCACGTGTGGACCGGTTTCGAGAGCACCCTAATCATCCGTCGGTGTCCCATGTTGTGAGAATCATTGCCAGACCATCGAGGTATTCGGAGTTTTTCCGATGAGCTGTTACTTCCGATTAGGCTGAGAGCCTTACAGAGTTAAAGACTTGACTTGAGAAATTTTAAAAAAGAGAAAAAAAAACTTGTGCATATCTTGTATAGTTACAGTTCCTATTACTCTATTAGAGAAATGTAATTGATGTATTTTTGTAATAAACTTTTGATGTTTTGTTTCATATATTCACGTCCTCTATTTCTATTCCATGCATGTATAAAATTCATGAAATATGAGATAGGTTATTTTGCAAGCTTGTCTGGTCTGTTGCACAAACGAGATGCAATAAAGTGACTAGACTTTTTGCATGTAAAATTGCAGGAAAATCTCGTTGATTACCTGAAAAAGTCTGAAATCTACTTCCTAGCGCGCAACTTGCTAAGTTTGTAAAAAGTGTTTTATTTTTCAAATTTACCGCGTTTGCGGGCAGCTTTCATAGTGGCAGACAATCAGGTTTGCTTAGATGGAGACTCGATCAAACCTAACATAAATAAACAAACAGTCTCGCGATCTGCTAAAAACTTTCCTCGCGTAAAATTTCAATCGATGTAAGGTTTCCTCTTTTGCAAAACAAGGAGCAAAGAGGGAAACAAATACCAGAAAACGAAGGAAACCGCACATTAGAAAAATTTTGCAAAATTGTTTGTTTATTTAGGTTAGATTGTCTCGAGTTTCTTCCCGGGCAAACCTGACTGTAGGCCACTATGGAAAACTACCCGCAGACAAATTAATTTGAAAATGCGTGTTACACATTACGCGGGTTGCGCGTTGAAGGGTACATCTCAGACATTTTTGACGTGACCAACGTTATTTTCGAGAGATTTCAGACATTGAAACTCTATTCACTTGACCGAGCCTCCTGAGTGCAACAGACCCATTGCATGATATTAGGGTATAGAGTAAATAGAGTCGTAATGTAAATGAGACATCTGGCGCCATGTTCTGGTCGACGAGTTTCGAGCCCGGTGTACGCCGAGCTTTGATCACTTTTTGGCTACATTTTCGATCCGAAATGGAGATGGAGAATGTCCTTTAGTATTTCCTATCCTTTTATTTGTCTATACATCGAATGGTTGTGTCCTTGTGTATCGAAAACAATCGATTATGTATCGAAAAAGTGACCTGGCGTTACACAAGAGTCTCGGGATTCGGGATCTGGAAATGTTTAGAATTGGCGCCAGCTGACCAGCTCTCCCACTTTCATTACGACTCTGTGTACTCTATGTATTAGGGACAGCATTATTGGGAAAAAATAAGAGGTTGGAAAGGAAGGGGGAGAGAGAGAGAAAGGGAGAGAGTACAGCATAAGAACCGTACTATTCTTTGAATATTGCAGTCTGAAAAAAATGCTGTATTGAAAATTGCGGGGGACAAAATTGAAGGCGCTTCGACTTGATCTCTTGACACACGCTGCCTTAGACTTGTGTCTCGCAAAGCCATCATCATGATCCTTGAAAAGGAAGAAGTATTTCTTAAAGATCATTTCATTTTAGCTATTCGGTAAAAAAAGAGAGAAAAAGTATTTCCTGTCAGAATTATTGAAATAATCAAAATTAGGCATGAAGTTTTGGCCATTTTAAAAGAAACTACAAACTTCAAGCCTAGTTTGAACTTGAGATAGCTTCTCATTTATTGGGTCCAAGAAATCATTAAACACGTACTTACTTTAGGGGAAATTTATGCGACCAATTTCACGCAATTTTTGCGAAGTTCAGTTTTATTCCTAGTTCCCCTCAAAATATAAATTTTAGTTTGTATTAGTAGTAGTATATACGATTTATTTGGCTCTTAAAATTCTCTATTCGGGAGCTTTTCAGAACAACGGCCCATACTAAAACCTATTCCCCCTGGAAAAACGCGTCACGAACGTTCATTGTTGGATTCTACAAACTTTGTGATAAAAAGGTAAAAATTTAATAGAAAAGAAAAGAGGGACTACAGGAAGTAACGTTGAAAAGTACTATATCGGAATGGAGCTGATTAAATGTTTTTATACATACTAATTTCTACTGTCAAGCACGATAAATCAAATTTTAAAGTGCTTACAAACGAATTCATCCAAGAGGATATTTAATTTAATCAGTGAAATAAAGTTAGTTACATAATTTTGGAAACTTGGAATATCCATGCTGAATGATTTTTTTGAGAAGCGTTGATTTTATAATTAATGTGATGACGTGTCCTATGATTTTTGCATACCCGATGATCCTAAAAAATTAATATTCGATTGATTATAATAGAAGAAAGAAGATCAAAGTTCAGCCAAACAGGCCGCCAGTATCAATCGGCACGCGCTGAACCTGTTAAATAATATGAAAAAAGTTTAATGTGCCGTGCTCATAATTTAGCGCAAAGAAGAGTCGTTTGGAAAAAACTCGAATCTAGACAGAAAAAAATTGTTTTTTTAAAAATGCGAAAAAAACTGATACTTTTTAAACAAGTCATAAACTGTTGATATCTTTGCGGAACGGACTAAATGATAATGAATTTATTCGATCATAACCTTCCGAATGGTAGGAAAAAATGTATGCAGGAAAAAATACCAGGAAAGAGAACGAACGGATAAAAGAAATGCGTTGGGGCCGTATTAAAAAAAAAGGAGTGGAAAAAACTGTGATAAAAAATTCGCCTCGTCAGATTTTAACCGTAGGCTCTGCGGTGCACCTGAAACATTTACAAAATATGTTAAGAGACGAGGCGAGGCGTTACTAATCGAATTAAGCCGTATTTGGAAAAGAGGAAATACGTTTTAAACCAGCTGAAATTACAGAAAAAAAATTTACACAAAAAACACAACGTTTACTCGAAACAAAGTGAAGCTGAAGCTGCTTATGTTTGTATGACGAACACAGTTTTATAAAGCCGAAAATGGGTCTTGTACAGTTTTGCCTAGGCTTTTTATAGGTTAGACAGAGAAAAATAAGTTCTCAAAATTTTATAGAAAATACAGCAAAATTGGAAATTTTATAAAATCAATTCGTCTGTGTTGTTTTCACATCTTTATCAGACGGTTCAGGAAAAAAAATGAAGTGAAAATGCTTAATGTGGCTGAGAAAAAACGAGTTGGGTAATTTTTATCGATTTTTTTAATTATTTCTTTTTGTCTATATTTTGCGATTCCCCGATAATAATGGTGAAGGAAGGAGAAATTTTAAATTAACATTAATGAAATTTACTTGACGTCTTTTTTGTGGGGTATCACTGCATTTTCGGCGACGAATGTTTATATTTTTTGCTTGGCGGTTCATCTTTACATGGAAACGTTTTTTTGTGGGATTATTATTTAGTTTAAAAAAGCCAAGGGTTTGGTCAATTGTTATTAAGGACGCAAATCCTCTAAATTTTAATGAAAAAGAAGTGTTTTGTATCGTAAAGTTCATACAGCTATTTTTTGTCTTATGTGAGAGGTCCTTGTGTAAAAATCACACCCCTCCGGACAATTGGCACTATGGGGTGTCCTACATAACACCTCGAGGAACATTTTCAAGGGGGAGCTGCCACGTAGATGTGGATATTTTAGGAAACCCATTAACGAAACGGACAGACATACGAGGGTAAGATTCCGACGGACGAGTGAGATGTGAATGAGAGGGGCGGTCGCGAAATTAGGGCAATCGGAAAGTTGGACGCTTCACTGAAGACTCAATGTCATGTCCACTGCGGCCAAATTTCAGAATCAAATTTCCTGAAAACAATTGTATTATATCAGCTAAGGCATTTCAACAACATCGCCAGCTTTTTCCATGAGTTTTTGTCCCTATTAAAAGAGGGAGGGATTTGATGAAAAAATTCAAAAGTATGGTATTGCGATCAAGTAGAAGTGTGAAACATTTTCATCTTTCTTTACAGGAGAAGTCATGTAAAAACTTCACCGCATGACCGCATTTTCAACCTGATATAACTTGACCATTTTGCAAAGCTTGATCTCTTCACCATGTAAACCAATCTAATATTTGCTGCGAACTTCCATACTGCAAAGGCAATAGGTGTCAGATTATCTTATCGAACTTTCTTTGCTTTTGTCTCCTTCTTCCCGGGATCAAAAGGAACGGGGAAATGATCCCGTCGATGAGAACCGGGAAAATGATTAGTAAAGTCATCACAGTTTGTGATAGCACACAAGCAAAAGTTGTGTGTAACTAGCAAAAAATTTAAAAAGCTTTGCAAATCCTTAAGTTTGTACGGAATCACCTTAATATTTACAAAACGCACATTATATTTTTCTTTACTACATATGTTTTTCATCAAATTAAATGAGAATAATCCATACAGAGTATGCAAACATTTCAAAGTCATGAGTTGAAAAACGCTGACTCCACGACCACGAGATTAAATAATAGATGCTAACACAAAGCGTAGCGGCGGCGCACTGGCGCCTACAAACCTAACAGGGATACTTCACGCATTGCGCAATGCGTGTAGTATCCCTGTTAGGTTTGTGCGCGTTTAACGCTGGCTGCCCGCCCGCCGCGCGCCGCGCCGCGCCGCAACGTACCACGGCGCTTGAAGCAACTATTTCACACCAGAGATATTGCACAGTATCATACGAAATTAAAGACGCTCCAACATATCGACGGTGAAACTACCAAACCACGTATCTCGTTTGCGGTGTTTAAAAATCTACGCTCACATTTTATTTTTTTGAAGTAGACCAAATCAATATCATTCCTTGAAATTTTCACGGAATTTTCTCTGCGCACAAAGAGGAAAAATCACAGAAATTTTCAAGACTGGATGTTAAGTAGTTTTTCATTTAAAAAATAAAGTATGACAGGAAGTCTGCGACGTCGCAAACCGAGATACGTGGTTTGGTAGTTTCACCGTCGATATTAGGAATGGCAGGCATCCTTCAAAAGTACGGAGCTTTCCTCGCAAAATAAATCAAGATACTACGGCCCAAAAAGAGAACGTTAGTCCAAAAACTCACTAAGTCCAAGCATCCGTAATTAGTAACGTTTAGCATACACTTTATCGCCAGGCTGTTGCTGAATCGCCATCAGCTATAAAAGGCTATAAGAAATTATGTTGCTGGCTATAGAAGCTATTGGAAATCTTACAGCCGGCTGTAGGTCTATGGTATTTTTGAACACAGATTCTACTGCCAATTTTTACCAGGGTATTCAGACACCAATCATAAGTCTGCTACATTTTTTGTTGTGACATATATTACAGCTTAAACGACCGAACTTCATTGAAATTTCAAGGAAATCATGGGTTTTTAGGAGTAGTGTAGAAAAGCTGTTAGCTGAGCTGGAAAGAATAAGTAAGAAGAAGAAGAATCACCTAACCTTACCTAACCTAACTCGATTGAAAGCGATAATGTATGACACGGATTTGTGCGAGAGGTTGAATCATTATTGTAAAAGGCGCAGTATTATCTAAAGAAAAATTTAACAATAGTAATGAAATAAAAACTTAAAACTATGGAATATATAAATAACGATTATAAAAATACATCGCTGAAAAATTTATTTGAAATAGTCCCCTTACATAAGAAAAAAAAAATTTGATTTAAAAAAACAAAAATACGAAAAAAAATTGACTTGAATTTTTTTCTAATTTTTAGGAAAATTTACTTTGCTTACAAACAAATTTTTGTAATTAATTTTTTTCTCTTTTTTACTATTCAAACGTAGCTTTTTTCCAATTCAAAGGAATGTAACTTTGTCACCGATGACTAATTAAAAAAAAACAAGGAGGCCGTTTTGGAAAGAACATTAGTATGCCCGCTCAAGAAAAAGAAAAAAAATAGGGCATTTTATGATAGACGACGATCTTCATCTATACTATAAGCTCCAAGACCTCCTAATTTTGCGAAACTGGTAACGCTTAGTTCCAGCGTTCTACCGGGCCGATTTTCATGATTTTTGCGGCGATCGACGGGCAATTGTCTCTAGATAAGCCAACTCCTTTCAGATTTTCAAAATATGGCCCAGGTTTTTTTATATTACGTGGTAAAGTTGCGAATTCTCCCATTTAAACAATGTAAATTTATACTTTTTGTCATAGTTCGTTTGAGCGTTCTACCGGGCCGATTTCCATGATTTTTGCGTAAATCGACAGGTAATAAGCCCTAGATGAGCCCGCTTTAATCAGATTTTGGAAAAAGGACCCAGGTTTTTTTAAAATCACGTTATAAAAGTGAGTGAGTTTACAGAATGCTCCGATACTGCTACCGCTATGCGCGGGAGGATGCGCAGTGGTCGAGGAGGTTGCGCAGTAGCTGTGTAGCCTGCGCATCAGCTCTACACNCTTCAAAAGTACGGAGCTTTCCTCGCAAAATAAATCAAGATACTACGGCCCAAAAAGAGAGCGGTAGTCCAAAATTTCACTAAGTCCTAGCATCCGTAATTAGTAACGTTTAGCATACACTTTATCGCCTGGCTGTTGCTTAATCGCCATCGGCTATAAAAGGCTATAAGAAATTGTGTTGCCGGCTATAGAAGCTATTGGAAATCTTACAGCCGGCTGTAGGTCTATGGTATTTTGGAACACAGACTCTACTGCCAATTTTTACCAGGGTATTCAGACACCAATCATAAGTCTGTTACATTTTTTGTTGTGACATATATTACAGCTTAAACGACCAAACTTCATTGACATTTCAGAAAAATCATAGGTTTTCAGGAGTAGTGTAGAGAAGCTGTTAGCTGAGCTGGAAAGAATAAGTAAGAAGAAGAAGAATCACCTAACAACCTAACTCGATTGAAAGCGATAATGTATGATACGGATCTGTGCGAGAGGTTGAATCATTATTGTGAAAAGCGCAGTATTATCTAAAAAAATAATAACAGTAATGAAATAAAAAGTTAAGACTATGGAATATATAAATAACGATTATAAAAATACATCGCTGAAAAATTTGTTTGAAGTAGTCCCCTTACATAAGAAAAAAATTCTTTGATTTAAAAAACCAAAAATACGAAAAAAAGTTGACTTGGATTTTTCTCTACTTTTTAGGAAAATTTGCTTTTCTTACAAACAAATTTTTGTAATTAATTTTTTTCTCTTTTTTACTATTCAAACGAAGCTTTTCTGCAATTCAAAGGAATGTATAACTTTGTCACCGATGACTAATTAAAAAAAAAACAAGGAGGCCGTTTTGGAAAGAACATTAGTATGCCCGCTCAAGAAAAAGGAAAAAAATAGGGCATTTTATGATAAACAACGATCTTCATTACAACTATCCAGTGACCCCTAAACGGTCTACATTTGACACACATTCACGGTGGACGAGTCCCGGGACGTAAATATAGGTGCGTTATGCGTTATATAACGCAATGCGCAACAGATACGCGATTGAGCGCCAACTTTCTGAGTTCGTGGTCCGATTGTCTGAAATTCGATTTGTCATCTTCTTTTGATGGAAGAGGTTAATGGACGCGCATCGATATTCATCGATATTGATCGATATTTCTCCCATTGCTCGTATAGTGTCCGCCGCAGCGCGGGTGGTAGACGATGTTGCCAGGTGATCTGAAAATAATGACAATATCATGAGACGCATCATCAGAAACTATGAAAGTCTTAAAGATGAGTTTTTGGGAGAAAAGTGACCACCTCTGAGACTCTTTGAGACATAAGTATAGAAATTACAGCGTGGACCTTTTAATTCGAGACATGAGCATGAGTTTTGGAGGTAAATGCGTGCAAAAATAGGAGAATTGTATTTTGGTACGATTAAGTAAATTACATTACTATGAATGAAACTTCCTTGTTAGAGGCTCTTCGTTGTCGGATTAGCAGGAAATGTTTCGTTCATTGAACGAAACTTTCCGTAATTCAATATAGGGGTTCTCGAAATATGCCAACACGTGGAAGGGTCAGAGTCTTATTTGACCTTAATCAACATTTACAGAAAATAAATGGTTAAAAATCACGAAAATTAATTCGTTTTCACTTTTTCCTTGATTTTGAGGTAAACTTTTGGGTAAAGGATTTTTTTTACTTCAAAGAAATTAAATTTTATCATCGATAGCCAATTTATTTATTTTTTTAGATAAAACAATTGAATTTGAAAAATAATTGATTTTTTTTTATCTATAAAACAAATCGTTTGACAATTTTTTCAGTGATTGCTGGACGAAAACCATCCATTTAAGTGGGATGGCTCGTTTGAAATGTTTGCCATGATTCTTGATCATACACCGAAAAAAATAATATGCTGTTTTAGCATCTAGGATGTCAAAAATGTGTCTGGTGATCCCAAGACGCTGCCTTTACTGCCCCCGCAGTTAATTTTACATCCTGTGAATGCAAATTCAACTGCAGGAGCAGTAAAGGCAGCATCTTAATTGGGATCACCAGACACATTTTTACATCCTAGATGCTAAAACAGCATATTATTTTTTTCAGTGTCTTCAGCGTGATGACTGTAGTTGACAACCCTGCACTGCGCTTGCGACAGGTCAAGAATCGTAGCTCATCCCTCGGATTAAAGATTCAGCGCACGTCGGAGCCGAATTCATATACGCCAAACTCGGTCGCTGTCCCATCATAACCGTTCATCTTTTCGGACAGCCAGCGCCACACATCCATCCTCCACAGACAATGTAAGTGCTCTTTCCTATCTCCGTTTTCTTTTTAAGACTCGAAGAAGTTTTCCGATTGGGGCGAACAGTAAAGTTAACAGCTCTATTTGCGCGATTAAACCGGCGATATTTCCGCGGAATGGCTCCGCTTAAGCGGAGAATAATAAGAGAGATATGAACGTAGAATACCAATATAAGGTAAAAGTATATAGATCAACCTAAATTGAGCTTTTGCGCAACTTTCTCTATAATAGTATTTTACCAGCGGGCTGATTGTTGACATTTATAGACAAAGCGCGTAGACAAAGAAGACACCGTGAGTATGGAGCGATCCTATTGGTTAAAATGAGTGGTTCTTATAGACTATGGGAGAAAATTATGGACTGACTAACGGGTCTCTCGTGGGTTTCCGTTAGTTAGTTTATTACCTATCTCGTTCGTCCATTGCAACCACCATTAAGATTCCTCTATATCCTTTTTGTCCTCTTTGTCTATCGCTTTGTTCACCAATTTCAACAATCAGCCCGCAGTTCATGAATCTAATAGATAGTCTTGTTTTGTCATGTTTTGATGGTTTAAGTTTATGGATTAAAAATACATAATGAGATCTGTTTAAACGCCGAGTTTCTACGTCCAATATTGATGGAAGTATCGCTTATTGAAAAGCGCAGCGTATGACGTATATCGACGGTGAAACTACCAAACCACGTATCTCGGTTTGCGACGTCGCAGACTTCCTGTCATACTTCATTTTTTAAATGAAAAACTACTTAACTTCCAGTCTTGAAAATTTCTGTGATTTTTCCTCTTCGTGCGGAGAAAATTCTGTGAAAATTTAAAGGAATGATATTGATTTGGTCTACTTCAAAAAAATAAAATGCGAGCGTAGATTTTTAAACACCGCAAACGAGATACGTGGTTTGGTAGTTTCACCGTCGATATCCATCTCGGTTGTGCATACCATGGTTTCTTACACCTTGATTTCCACAATCACTAATACGAAATTTTGCACTGGTTACTCGAAGTATAATGCCTTTGATAAAACCAAGGTGGGAAAACCATTATATGCACTACCAAAGCAGAAGATGTCATTGTCATGCCCTGTTTTCCGATGGGCAATATCTCCGTTGATATTGAATGTACAAAACACGGTGTTAGACACTCAGCAGGCGATTATTTCAGGGGTGAGGCTAGTGACGATTCTTGAAAATTGGCAACACTGTATTTCCTCAAATTAAACATACGTGAAACAATCGATTCTAGGTGAGGCACCTTTCCTCACCTAAAATCGATATTTTTAATGGATTTCAATGGACAGAAAACAGTATTGCCAATTTGCAAATCGTTGCCACAGTATGGATGAAGTGAGATATCAATATTACAGTCTCGTAGAGCATGCTGCATCTTACATTTATTCAGTATCAAAACTGTTATTTAGCTTATGTTTGAGAAGCTACAGGTGGTTTCAGGGAAATGATGTGGGGGAGAACAGCTGAAAAAGTGAAGGAGAGCCGTGTTCCAAGGGAATGTGAAAACTGCTTACGATTGACTTACATTGAACAAATACGAACACAATTAAAATATTGCGAATGTAAAATTAAGTGAAACAACCGACTCTTTTCGAGGCACCTTTCCTCGCCTAAAATCGATATTTTTAATAAATTCCAATGGACAGAGGATGATATTGCCAACTTGCAAAATTCTTTTATTTTTTTATTCTCATGTTTTTTCAGTATCAAAACTTGTGTTCAGCTTTCGATTCACGCGCTACAGGTGGTTTCAGGGAAGTGACATGAAAGAGGACAGGGCAAAAAAAGTGAGAGAAAGCCGTATTTCTAGGGAAATGTGAAAATTCATTACGATTGAGTTATTTTGCAAAAAAAATACGAACAACATTAAAATATTGCGAATGTAAATTTATTAACTGAAAAATCAAATTTTCACTGGATTGGCAACGACGCATCAACCAGTGGCGTGGCGTGAATTGCGATGTATCGATTGTTCTGCCATTTAAACATATGGTAAAGAATCGATTACTAAGGTGTTCGCTGCGAACACCCTGTTTTTCGATCTTTTTCCATAGGTTTAAATGGCATAACAATCGATTCATCGCAAAGCACGCCACGCCACTGGCATCAACAGAACTTGGATGTTTGCATGAGTAGCTATCTACTCTGTATGTGTGTGTCCATCGACCTGCTATTTGTTTTGCCTTTTATATTTTATGACGTGATCACATTAGTCATTAACAACCGCTTATCGATCTCATTCCACCTTTACGGCCGATTTAATTGGATTGCAATCGTGGAACCGACTCGGAGGTTCAACATGGTTTCCATTTCTGTATCTTTGTTCCATCTTACAAGAATATTTATAAAATCTAAATTAGATGTTATAAATATTTGATTAGATTTAGCAGACTTTGAACCTTGAGGGATATCTCAAAAATAATGACGGGCATTATATCGCCATTGAAAGTGAGAATAAGAGTAAAAATTTACAGGCTGATATTGTTGTTCTCTATGAGCTCAATGTGCTTCTAGTGGATAAAACATGACATGAAGCCTTTTTACTTTTCAAACATGTTTTCAATCAAAATGACACGTGTAATAAATTGGGAAAATAGTGTCAGATGATAATACCGATAGAAGCAGAATAATGTGATGGATCAATTAATCGTTTCAATGATTCAAAAAGTCTCTAAAAGTGCACGGGTCGCGATTAAAATGTGTTTTACTGTAAAATGCCTTCACAATTTATTGCATGGGCAAGATAGAGCTTTGTCTTGTTTTGTCGTGCTGACATAGTTTCAATAATCAACTCGCTGTTTCTTACCGATTCCGAGATGATTTCAGTTTTTCAAATCGATATAGACCATACTGTCGCAGTTGAAACGGCACTAAAACCCTCTTGAAGGATTACAGTGTAGAATTGTTTCTACACTGAAAAAAAAAAAATCTCGGTGTATTTACTAAGAAAAGGTTAAAATTACCAAGAATTCAGGGTTCTATTTGATCCCAGTTTTTTCTTGGTAAAATTACCATTTGTGGAATTGGTAATTTTACCGAGAATCTTGGTAAAATGATTGAACTTTCTCGGTAATTTTACTGGACCTTGGTAAAAACGCCAATATTTTTTAGCGACTGTGGTAGAATTACCGGAATAAAATGGCAAAGTTACCGGGAATTGATTACCAATAAAAGTGGTATTCTTACCGGAAAAAAAACAGTAAAAATACCGGTTTTTAGGTAAGTTTACTAGTCTGTCTTGGTAAAATTACCAATAATTGGTAAAAAAAAGTGAGATGGTAAAAGTACCAACGGACCTTGGTAAAAACGCCGAGAATTTTTTTCAGTGTATCATGGAACTTTGTCTCGGGCTCGAAGTTACCTACAGCTGGTTGATTAGCTCACAATCAGAAGTCCCCCTGTTATTTAGCTGATCCTTGAGGCGTTTGAACTTGCGTCTCCGCTACTCACACGCACACACGCGCGAGAGCCCGATTTCAAAACCATCCCCCTGAGCACTCAAATGAAATGCGCCCTCCGGCTCAACCTACAACACTGCGCGAAATAATGCGCAAGTCATACTTTTTTTGATTAGGAAAGAATGATTATAATACCACGTTTTATAAACAAATCTACCTTGCTGATGAAAAACGCCGTATGAGCATCCTTGCGTCGCTAAATTTCATCTGATACTATACGAATTTACTGGAAAATTTTGTAATGATTTTCCTAGAAACTTTTGGATTATTTTCATCATAATTCGACTAAGCGATCCTAAAAATGTCAACAAAAAATGTCGCCCAATATATCTTCAAAATAAGTGTTTTATTGGGGAGAATCTGGCAACATCAGAATGTTTATACGGCGTTTCTCTTTCACACGGCAGAATTTCGCTGTTCGTGTTGAAAGATTGATTTATCGGATCGCAATTTTACCTTTCAGCCGGTTTGCCGGGACGAATATGTCCTCAAAAACTCACATAATATGAGAGGCCACGTGGGGGAAGTCTTGAGTTTCGGTATATCCTATTTTTTGACAACAAAGTTAGCAAAAACCATATTCAGACATTTGAAATAAGAACAGTCAACAATTAAAGGTTGATTTTTTTCTCGGTCATTTGTAGGAGAAAATATTACGGGCCTCGCCAACTTTGACCTGTAGCGTAGCCAGGGAGGGGGAGGGGTCTGAACCCTCCCCCATAGGAAAATTTTCTCCTTAAAAACATCATTTTTCCAAAATTCAACATTAGGACTCCCCCGCATGAGGAATTTTTGACCGGAGAGAGACCCTCCCTCTTCTAGGGATACTCCTGACTCTGAGTGAACAATTATAGTTTTTTTTTACTTCGTTGCTGCGATATGAAATTGAGGAAGTATGCATACATCGATTGTCCTTTTTACGATGATATATCAAAATCACAATGTAAACCATTGGACCGCGTTCAGCAGAAAGGAACCAAGCCACATTAGCTATTGCCAAATGTAGCCGTGTCATTTAATTTCTTACGAGAGAACAATTGTGCGGATTCCTTTAAAAATTTCAAGGAATTCGCTTCGTACCATGCAGAAAATTCATTGGAATTTGCACACAAATCCGCACAATCCTTTTCATGGATGAAATTAAATTGCCCGATTAAATTTGGCAATACCTGATGTGGGTTGGTTCCTTTCTGCTTAACGCGGTTCATATGGATTACATTTTGCAATAAGGAACCACTAACTCTGGCTCTCCCATAAAAGCGCATATCCGCATAGGGAAACCAATGGCATGTACGTTGTTTCTGAAATGGGCCAGAAATAGCGGTTCCTTATTGCAAAATGTGGTCCATATATTGGATACTATTTCTGGCTCATTTTAGAAACAACATATATGCCATTGGTTTTCCTATGCAGAAAAGTGCTTTTATAGAAGAGGCAGAGATAGTGGTAGTGGGGCCGATAAGTGGAAAATATCATAAGAATCGTGCACTTCTGGAAGAAAGCATGAAAATTTCAGGGATTCATCTCTACCCTATAGACATTCGATTCAGACATAGACCCCAAAAATCTGAGCCCCCTGGGGGGGCAGGGGGGCCCCCAAATTTTGAATTTTGAATAACTACTGAACGGCTAATGTTAGCGTAATTTTTTTTAAGCAGGACGATAGGAAATTTTATCAGGAACAAAAATGATTCTTATGAATTTTTTTGTGGGATCGATATTTAAGGCGTGAAACGGGAAAAACCATCGGGGGACGGGGAGCCGGCCGTTCTGAGGCAGATCTGCGCGCTGCGCTGTTTGCCCGGGACGCGCGCGGCGGCGCGGCGCAGTACGGTGTTACCGACGAAACAGCCGCTTGTCTTGGTTTAATCTCAACGATGCGCAGTTTTAAAAATAATAATGAATTTACCGTACTGCCTAAATACTTTTCCTCAGTTATATAAGCTATACTTTTTACTAGTAATACATAAAAACAAGCAAAAGCGAAATACTCCAATGTGAGAGCGCCGAGTCAATAGGAGGGATCGGTCATCGCGCATCACGCGTCTTGTTTTCTCTGAATGCAGAGCTTCTCCGACCTCAATACAGAGTAAATTACCCTTTCCTCGCGTAAGTTTTGTACAGGATTACATTTTTTTAAGATATTAGAGCGAAATAACAAGTTTTAATACGATTTTGACCCACTTTTTCATGACTATTGGAAATGGCGGATCCTTCGTAACTTATTTTTAGCTTATTTTTCATGTTACTTTCCGCGAATGAGACAATGAGCTGCTTACATAACCATGAATTTTGCAAAACTTGGTAGAGATATTAATTGAGGAGTGTGGAGGGAGGGGAGGGGGGCTCCACAGTCCCTTCGCCACTATAAGGTTACCAGATTTCCTTCAAAATGAAGGAAATATCTTTTTCGTTCATGTTCATTGGTTTCTCGCAATTGCATAGGTACTGATTCATACGGAACATTCCGACAATGTTCTTTTCTCCTCTTTTTCCCTCCAGCCAGTCGATAGAAGTTTTCATTTTCATGAACTCCCTATTTTTTCAGTTATTCAACAAATATGCATATTTAAAAAAAAATAGAACAATACATTAAATAAATGATAAAAAAGAAGATATCTGAATACTATCGCCTCTTTTTATCGAGTCATCCTTGAAGATATTATTGGTACTTACCACGACACATAGAAAATGGAATGAGCAGTAAAAAAAATCCATGTATATTATCTTACATTTTGTTGTATGGAATTTAGAGTGGAGTTGGTAACATTTGTTTTGAAAAAAATATTAATATAGGAGGAAATTTATTTATCATGCAGGTTCTGATTCTTTAAAGAACCTCCGAGAAGGACCAGGCCTCAGGAAGAAATTCATTGCATTTCTTCTTTTTCAATCCGCAAATCTCGTACCGATTTTTGATTTGTATGGAGCTCATGGAAGAGTTCTAGGTAAGTATGTCGGAGACAATTTTCAAGAAACGGGACTTGCAAAATATGCAATGCACAAAACGTACACCTTAAACTTTATCGTACATTATAACACTGATCGAATTAGCTTTAGAGATTATCAAAAGGTTAATTTATCGTCAAAATATCAAAAAATCAGTCAAAATTAGCAATCAGTAATCAGTTGCAAAATTACCGAGATTGCGGAATATCGTACCTATGATGCGCTGACATAAGAGCAGGATAGGTTCCCAGTACTTAGGCGCGACTTCCTATCACTCAAATGGACCGTTTTGACAGATTAGCGGATACGGCGACTAGTTATTACTTAATAATATTCTTTGTACTGTACAAAGAAGCAGTCCAACAAAGGTTTTTTGGGGGTCATTTATCCCTATCAAGCTTTCTCAAGATTCTTTTGCCGTTTTTTTGGAGCAAGTTTTGAAGGTGGTTTTGGTCCTCTTAAAAAAATGCCTATACGTAGCAATGATGTACCAAAATGTTCCTGAAAGAGAGGAGAATAAGCAAGCATGTTTTTATGTATGCTCATTGTTTACAAAATTAGGCTCCCTGTCTTAAGTAAGCATATTTAGATACCATCCTGATGTCGCAGCACCGAGAGAAAGAGAAAGATAAACACTTTAAAATCATTTTTCAGGTCATCGTGGTACACAAATAAGATTTGTGACTTTTAGCCCCCCCCCCCCTTCCCGAGACAACTGTGCCTCAGATTTTGTTCCGTTCAACTGATGTCTGATGCAGTTATCTCGGATGCTGTAATAAAACTTGACAAACCCATACAACAAAACGATTCGGAACTCCAGCACTTAACCCCTTCTCTTTCTGTTGCCGTGCGCTCGCTTGTATACATATATTACCTGCATAAGTTAAGCCCTATTTTAAGGCTTTATAGGTAGTACGATATATTCACAATACTTTTAAAACTGCGCATCGTTGAGATTAAACCAAGACAAGCGGCTGTTTCGTCGATAACACCGTACTGCGCCGCCGCGCGCGTCCCGGGCAAACAGCGCAGCGCGCGGATCTGCCTCAGAACGGCCGGCTCCCCGTCCCCCGATGGTTTTTCCCGTTTCACGCCTTAAATATCGATCCCACAAAAAAATTCATAAGAATCATTTTTGTTCCTGATAAAATTTCCTATCGTCCTGCTTAAAAAAAATTACGCTAACATTAGCCGTTCAGTAGTTATTCAAAATTCAAAATTTGGGGGCCCCCCTGCCCCCCCCAGGGGGCTCAGATTTTTGGGGTCTATGTCTGAATCGAATGTCTATAGGGTAGAGATGAATCCCTGAAATTTTCATGCTTTCTTCCAGAAGTGCACGATTGTTATGCTTATCGGCTCCACTATGGTTCCTTATTGCAGAATGTAATCTATATGGCCTGAAGAAGGGACCTATTCAAGATCGACCTATATAAACCGTATGGGGCTTCCTCGTAAAAAGGATCTTTCATAAGAACGACTGTGCGTACGGCCCTAAGTCCTGATTACGTTTGCTCCGGCGGCAACGTCGCTGATTGGTTAATTGAGATGCGGCTTCTTGGTTTTCGGCCAGGGTCCTCGCGCGCGGTTCTGATTGTAAGCGGTTATTCATCAGTGGCGCATCCCGCTTTGCGATGAATCGATTGATCTGCTTATTTAACCCCACGGAGAAGAATCGATTATCGTGGCGCTCACAACGAACACCTTAATAATCGATTCTTTACAAGCTTCGAATGGGAATTTATCGATAGTTGATTATTCACGCCGCGGCGCCGTAATTTATGACTGATGGCGATGCCGTTGATCAGCCGTAATCCGTCTTTTTGGAGGCTAGCCGTCTCCTTTCTAGCTCTGTCTCCGACTCGGCCCAAAGTTCAAGGTCGCAGCTCACTCGTGTTTTGACGCCGAGCAGGTGTGGGAATTGGAACCTCTTTCCGCCACACTGCCCCTTCCCTCGCCCTGTAACGGACCTTCCACTTCTTCTGGATCGAAGCCTCGAGTTTTTCGCAGATTGGGATTCTACGTCTACGTGTCAAACGCACTTCAGAATGGACTACGAGACTACTGTAGTAGATACAGCAAAAATGGACTTTTTAATTGAAAAATAAGCGTCATAAAAAAAGAAAAAAATTTCAAAAAAATCTTTGGGCAAATTTAAAAAAAAATTGACTAAACTTTAAACTTTTATAGCTACATTATAATCTGTACTTGTAAAAAAATAAATTTTGATAGGGTATCAGGCAACTTGTAAATGGAACCTTCTGCTCACGGGGCTCTTGCTCTTTCTTCGTTATACTGACGGAACTTTTCTGTTGTGAGAAAAGAACTTCGGTCGTGAGCACACTCTGTCCTCATAATGGAAACTTCTGTGGCTGTAACAAAGAAAGTACAGGACCTCTATTATATGAACAGAACTTTTTTTTTTCTTCTTCTTCCAGTGAGTGCCTGAAGAATGTTTCAAACATTTTATTCCCGTAAACACCCGATCTCAAGAAAAAAAAAAAGTCTAAAATAATGTCTTCCAAGCTGCATGTAATAATGTGGTAAAATGGCGCTGGGTCGGGAGTAGGGTCCACACTATTTTGCGGGAAGAAGAGGGCCAAAAGGTTCACAAATTGCCAACAATTTTGAGCTCTAATGAGTATCAGTTCAAAACCTGAGGGGGAGAGTGTCATCCGATAATCGCCCTCTGCTTCTGTTATAGATGTTCATCACAACGATATTCTTCCTTCTGGCTGCCGCCTTCACCCAGTCTGCGGTCATCCCAGCGCCTTTGGTGGCCCCGTACGCAACCAGCTACTCAGCGCACAGCATCAACCACGCCTACGCTGTACCAGCTGTCGCGTCCGCTGTCCCTGCCGTCCCTGCCGTGGCAGCACCTCTCACCGCCGCCCCCGCCCCCGTGGTGCCCGCCTACCGCCCTTACGCCTACAACCCTTATGCGCCTGCATATGCTGCCCCTTACACTTACCCTTACTTGCTGTAGAACCTCCATACCTTGTGCAGCAATCTTCTTATGATGGCTCAGAGAACCAGACGTTTACCCAACATTGAAGATCTAAATTGAATACATCTTTATGCTAAAAGGAACTATGTGCATAGGGTTTATTGCAACATAGTTCCTTTTAGCATAATTACGTCCAATTGACAGAAAGGAGCCAACATTTTTGGAAAATAAGCTCCTCGATTGCTTTAAAAATGTCTCTCAGTAGCGCTTGGTCGTTCGGTCTTTTCCCTAAATTCATTTCCTCTGGGGGACTGAGGAGAAACGAGTAGTGAAATTGCACGGAAAAAATTAATTTGCTGATTTAACAATTTTGTAGTTAAAAAAAGCGTCTAACATGTTTCAATGTAGATTTTTCAACAAAAAAACGCTATAATCTAACCACTGCCGAGATTAAATTAGCTTTCCATCATCGAATATGTATACTTGAAACACGTCGGACGTATTTTTTAACAATTTAATTGTTAAATTAGCACGCCATTTTTTCCGTGTGGCTCCTTTCTCTGAATTGATCCAACCCTGTTTGGCTGTCGGTTCTCTTGGAGTTTGTATTCCTGTAAATATGATCAGAGGGATTGGAAAACCAAGGATTTATTGAACTTCATTACTTTAAATCCGTGATTTGCCATGTTGTATGTATATAAAATGTAAAAATTATTTGAGAATAAAAAATTAATGATAAACAAAGATTTTATAATATACAACTTTGCCACACATCCCCAGATAATGCTGACATACCAAAAAAAAAAAAAAAAAAAAAAAAAAAAAAAAAATTGAAATGTGGGTCAATAACAGTATGGAAGGCAGTAGGTCCAAGCCTGCAACAACCAACGCTCCATATCCTTCTGAAAGCACTCTGATTAGCATGAATGACATTGGTGCTTGTCATAGTTACGTCGATCCGCAAATGAGTGATGTCTTAAGATGTCAATGTATAGGTAAATCCAGATGAACGCTTCCAATTTCCGATGAAAATTACTAGATTTAACAAGTGAGTGCGAGGAAAGATAGTAGGAGCTCATTCCAAAGCGACAACGTTGGAATAAATGCAGAATGCACTTGGCCCCAATAAAACACAATGTAAATTGAGAAGTGTATTATTGACTCTAGATGCATGCGAGAAATCGGAGACGAATAAGTGCAGCCCGTATCAATTACTTCTCCTACGAGTAATTGAAGGGTCGAGTAGGTGCGACTAATCAAATATTGCTTTTGACCTGCGGGCTGATTATTGAAATTGGTAGACAAAGAAGACAGAGGGAGTATGAAGCGATCCTATTGGTTGAAATGGGTGGTTTCTATAGACTGAGAGAGAAAATATGGTGGACTAACTAAAGGATCCTTCGTGGGTTGTCGTTAGGTAGTCTATTACCTACCTCCTGTGTCCATTGCAACCACCCGCTTCAACCAATAGGATCCCTTCATATCCCTTTTATCTTCTTTGTCTATCAATTTCAATTAATAATCGGTCCGCTGGTGACTTAACTATATGATCAAGCATCACCTAGTTGAGAAGTCGAGGCGCTTGTGGGAATAAAAAGAAGTTAAAATTATAGATACATACATAAAATCGCTTTTATAGCGCCGCCTCGCGCTCTGCGACGCCCAATCGCCATTGCCCCCTATCCTCCCAGAGATCATCAGGCAATTGGCACCTTCTGATCTCCTCCTCCACCCCTTGTCGCCAACCTTTCACAGGACGTCCACGCCGTCGCCTTCCGGGAGGAACCCAATCGAAGACCTGCTTGGGCAACCGGTCGTCTGCCATCCTTCGCACATGTCCATACCAGACCAACTGCTTGGACCTGAAAAATTATAGATAACTATACTAAAAAAAAGTATCCTTTTAGGTGTAGTGATGAAAGAATGGTGATCACCGACAGACTCTGCAGTTAGACAACTCGTATTCTCTCGAAGCATGGTAAATGCTACCGGGTGACTGATTATCTGTATCCACCTCGGAAAAAAAAGTTACGGGTTATATAGACGTACCGTCCGTCCCGGACTCAGAGGCTGAAGCTTCCGGGTGCTGGAGCCGTAGCTTCGATTGCTCCGAGTGCTACGCCCGGAACATTCGGCCTCTGAGCCCGGAACACGGACGATATGTCTATATGGTCCTAAATACGGCTTTCACAGCCGGAGTTTTTTTTCAGTGCAACATTGTCACTGTGTTAAAAACCTAGTAGACTCAAGATAGAATATATCATAATTCTGATCACATTTGCTATACATATTTTTCAGTGTAGGTCTAAAAAACCGACCGAAGCTAATTTAGAGAGAGCGAGTGCTCTCTGTTCGTTGAGATTATTATCGAGGCTCCTAAAATAGCACCACATTCAAAAATCGTAGAAAATATCTCCGTGCGATTATTAATACACAAGTTTATAAATGCAAAATCTTCATTAATTGGATATATATCAATAACAATAGGACACAACAACAATAGGACAATAGGATTTTTAACAATAGGATTGGTGACAAAAGGGGACACTTAATGCAGCCCATTTTCGCCTTTTCCCCTTGCTTTGACAGCCTTCACTCATCTCTGCGCAACAATTCACCGAAGTGTTTCGTAGCACAGTTCGGGTCTAGGAAAGCTAAAGCGCCTTCACTTTGTTGTGTATGCAATATGGACGTCCGCCGAGCACTAATAGTTGCTTGCAAGTGCCGTGATTTATTTCCGTTCATTATTTCGGTCTCTCCATCTTCTTCCTCATCAACCTTCTTCTCCCTTTTTATCTTATTCTTCCTGCCTTTTCTTATCTTTCGCATCAATATTTTTCTTCTGTTCTTTCCTCTTAGTCAACTTTCCTTTCATTCTCTACGTATTTTTCCATCTTCTAATCTGCATAATTTCTTCCTCCTCTTCTCCCTCTATTTTACATTTTTTCCCGTAGGTACTTGCTTTTATATTCGTTCTTTTCTCTTTTTTTCTGTCCTTCCTGGCTCTTCCTATCTTTCTTCGCCTCATCATTTTTCTTCTTTTTTATTTTTATTTTGTCGTATTTTTAATTTTTCTAAACAACCTAACTTGTAATTGAACCAGAATTATGGGCCAAGTTGCATCATATTATTGTGATGTGGAACATTTTCTCACGGTGGTCGAAATTCAGAGCACTGGACAAGAGCTCATCGTTCTTTCAAGACATACCTACACTTATCCTTAATGATTAATTGTTTATAACAAGTTCTAGCAGACATAAGTTTTTTTTCACTTTCCTAGCTAAAAAATATATGAAAAGTAACTATGATTGTACCGCGACGGGAGAGACAGGTCTGAGGAGTAACTCGAACTCTGAGCCCTGTAGTTCTCAAAGAGCGTACCGACGCTTAAAACGCACTTGCTTCACGCATCAATTACAATCCGCCAACCAATCAGGGATGCCAGATTGTAAAATGTTATTTACCTAAGTCGTTTGATATCAGCACAGCCCGATTTTCAGGCAAACGCAAACCTAGGTTTGTCGAGGAGGTCATCAGGCAAACATAAGTTAGGTTTGCTTGAAAATATTAGGAAACAACCTGGGTTTGCCAAACGCAATTTCAGAGGATTCCCGATTTTTTTTTTGACTGCGCAAGTATGACTGTACTGCTTAAATCTTGAAAAATATCTGTGGAAATTATCAAAGCAGCTTTTCAATATTTTACTTGTCCTCAGTTTTCACAAATGCACAAAAAGTACACTTAAAGGCTCTTGCACTGGACCCTTCAATCGAGGAAAAAATCTGACAACTAGGACTTTGATCGCGTTGCCTCATATTAAAGCATAGGTTGTTATCCCGATTGCGTCTAAGTAACGCAGCGAGACTTGATACGGCGGAGGTTGCGAGATCACTCAGTATTTTTCAATATCTCTGCCTATGTTTATACGGAAAGGATAATTTTGTGAACACTTTGACACGACCGAGCAAAGGATTTTTGCATCAGCTCGATCGTCGCCAAAGGCCTGATTTGAAAATTCTTATCGATTGGTTTCAGCCCCACTTCGATATAAATACTTCAAGACAATGAGCGTTAATCCGCAAAGAGAAAAATAAATTTTAAAAAACAAGGAACTGAGAATAATGACCAACCTAAATACCTATTTAAAAGTAAAAGAACGCATACCGTCGCCATTTTTTCGTAACTAAAGAAATAACGGAAAATGTAGGAATTAGCGTTGAGGGCGAATTGATTTGACCCGAAGGCGAATTAGTTTTACCAGAGCGCTAATTTTACAGTTAGTGCTGTTTTCCAATTTTGGTTCGCGCTCTATTGAAGTCAAGTCAGCGTATGGAGCGAATTGATTGGTGCTTCAGTACAAAAAATCGGTGCTGAAGTCTTCTTTTGATTCTACTTGGCGAGAACTTACCAAATTAGTACTCAACGCTAACTAATTTTTTTTCATTGTAAGTAAAGTTTATTTTCGATTGAAATCTTTATTTTTTCATTTTTTTTTGGAAAATATCTCTATTAAATAATTACGTTAGTTCTTTTTCGTTTCCTAAGTGTTTTCTATCGATCAAGGTCATTTGACTCTAACTATCCGCCGAGATTCAAAATTGACCCCCAGAACTTGGCAGGATAACTAACGCGTTGGAACGCTTAGACATTGATATGCGACTGAAATTGGATCAGGTCGAAGTCGGACGCACTTTTTACTCATGCGTGATGAACTGAGTGACAGGGGCGTCACGTCTGAGCCTGGCATGAACTTTCGCATTGCACAAATGCGTTGCGCCGTCGCGATAGCGTCCAAATTTTTTTGGCAAGGAATGGAAGCGCAACAGGTCAGTCTACCCATGTCTACGGAGTAAATTGGAGATCATTTAGCGAAGGCGGTCTGCCTGCTTTTCCACGTGGGCCTTAAAGTCGTTGTTCTTCTGGCGTAAGAGCGTACCTGGATTTCCACATGAGTTCCAAAAAGCATGGAATCATATATAAAACAGGGCTCACGTTGAAAATGAAATACGCCTTTACGTCAGAGGGGCAGCGAAGTTTTTCTTACGCGACGCGCGGTTTACGTTTAGACCACGGAAATGTAAACTGTACTGCCGTGCTAAGGAAAAACGCCGTATGAACATTCGAGGGTTGCCAAATTTCCTCCGATAAAACATGTATTTTTGATAACATTCATGCACATTTTTCTTCG